TGGGGGGTGGAAGGGCTGTCAAATGTTAGTTTCTACGTAAACGGGCGTTACGGTTTGTACATACTACCACAAGGAACGAGTTTTTTGAAGCTTTTTTTGTCTAAACCATACCGGACAACTCCGTAGACCCAGAAACATACCTAGTACCTGACTTGTGGTACTTCAACAAAAGTCCTCTAAAAAAAACGAACACTCTGTTAACACCACGAGTATAACTAAATATATATATATATGATCATATATATAATATATATCATATATAAATTCGTTATCGAGTGCTGTCGGCCACCATATACGGAGGTAATATAGTGTCGATTCCCGCCACCCAAGCCGGGCTGCGCTTCGACGTACGTCAAACAGAAAAGTTGGGTTGGACATATGACAAACGGAGTCCGCGCTCCCTATGACTGTACACACTTTTCATTAGATGTTAAGATTGGGCACATATGCGGTCATATAGTGCCGATTCCTTTTTTTGGGGGGTTAGTCCTAACGAACAAACTGAACGGCAAAATATTTATATTATATATATATATATATATTATATCTCTCTCTCTCTCTCTCTCTCTCTCTACCTATCTATCTACCTGAAGCTCTGAGGACCAAAAGGTCGGACTCAGAAAATTAAATAACAAACCAAACCACTAAATTAATTAAATAAATTAAAATTAATTAAACAAAATTAAATAATATATGTAAATATTTAAAATTATAATAAAGTGTAAAGTACAACGTTACAACTTACAAGTTATTTTTCAGACAAACTTTCCTCATGACCTTTAATAATCTATATACTAGTACAACTAGTCACCAGATTTTACCGAATGATTACACGGCTGTTATATAGCAAATAGCCGTTATTAAGGTCCTTGTAAATAGCAGGTTAGTTTTAATCAAATAGCACTGGTCCGGATGTATCGTGACAATCCAACGAGTGCAGGTTTCTTGCTCCCGAATGTCTCCTAATTTGTCGTTTTCGTCCAATGCTAATTCTCGAGGAATCTACCATTAAGCAGATATTGGGGACAAATTATATTCGTCAAGGACGTCTAGAGCGGTCCACCCGAAGTCCTTTGTACTTTCGACTTCTAGTAGTCTTCCTTGGTGACATTGCTTCGTTAAGCGATATCGTAGAGTATAATTTTATAAATATACAAGAAAATTTACCTAACTTTCTGACATTTTGACACCTCCCTTTCGTTCATGCTGTGCATAACTCACATACACCTCTAAAGATCAGCTGCCGTGTTTGCTACCAGCTGGGAAAACGGAATGGAGTGGTTGTGTTTTAGGTGTAGTTTAAAATGCGTGGTATTGCCTGCTTTTGTCGCTACCTTTTTTAAACAAATGCGACACACCGCCCGGCTCATTCAAGTCCGTAGGTTGGCCTCGTTGATTTGGCTTGAATCCAAAATACTGCCACACTGGAGAATCGAGATGTGTATGTTTTGTAACCAATTCCATTTCACTTTAAATTCCCCGCGAGTAAGTCACAGGTTGTCTCCCGCTTGTCGCTATATTATTAATTTGGCTGCTACGCTGCTGTACGTGCACACAGTGTCCTGACCTGGCTGTGTGTCAGCCCCGCCCCTCGCAGCGCGCATGGCCGGCAGCCACAGCTCCTCTGGCAGCCACAGCGCTCCTAGCTAAAATGCTGGTCACATCCTTATGTAAACAAACACGCATGTAAACGGCAATTTATCGAGCTCAGAAAAGTTATCGAGTCCATTTTTATTTATCGTACGATAAGTCAATTTATCGATTATCGCGACAGGCCTAAGGCTATGGCTCGCTAAAGTAGTTCAGTGTCAGTATGAAGTTAAGTGGTATAAGTTTAATATATTCACTTTTAGAACACAATGCTTCTCAATGTGCAATGCTGCAAATGGGCACCGACGTTGGCGTTCTGCTTTAATGCAATATTAATGCAAAGAGGGGCAAGAATAAAAAAATTACATCAGCTATATCTTCCAAAAGTATGTGTATATACAGTTTACATGCTGTACTGCTGTGCAGGGGATGTACAAAACACATGAATAATATAATGCATTCAAACAAATGTTTCAACAAACTATACATCATGAGAAAAATATTAATGGCATCCTTTCTTACCTGTGTTATTTAGGCCGAACAATAGGGGACATGATATGGCGAAAGACAGTACCCACACCACGGATATCATGACTGTGACCCGCCTCCTGGAACTGTAGCGAGTATTGTACAGCATTGGCATTGCAACTGCTGTGTAACTGTAAGGAATGAAGAAAAAAACACTTAGTTAAGTGCATCAAAAAAAGCATGAAAAAAAAAAAAAATGGAAATGAAATAGACAGAAGAAAATCTTCATCATACACTTGTATCGTTTGAATTTATTCAATGATCTGCCGCTTATTTTATCCCCTTCATGTTCCTAGTTCTCTTTATTCATCAATGGATTTATAGCTCAAAAGGGGACACACAACATGAGGCCTACAAGTGGTATAACCAAAAGATCTTGCCTGTCATCTTTGATCAGATCCTTTTTGATGTTGGATGGGCGCTTAGGAAATGTCTGGCCTCAGTTTACATGTAGAGGAGGAACTTTAAAGTTGGCTCGCTTTTTCCTCCAAGGAAATACATTATCATTTAACCTCGCTACATCGGCTGACCTTATTAGTGAGCTGCTGTGATCACCAGGAAATGGACAGCCTTTTACTCATGCATTGATTTCTGTGCAATTTGGATGTAAAGCCGAGTGGGTAAAGCTTTACAGAGACTATTTTGCTGTTTGGATTACTTTTATTGAAACACAAGGGAAGTAATACATTTAAGGTGATTGTGTTATAGATCATGGATTGTGAAACACATTTTACCAAGGTTTCAGATAGGAAGCCTTGGGTAAGGTAAAACCTCTCCAATTGTCCCAAGATTGATAATGCACAGTACTTGTGCAAGGCCAAAAAGAATGCATATATCCAGAAAAACACCGGTAGATTAATGTTTCCTTGCACCTGCTCATGAATCACAATTGTGGGGATGGATATTCACATGGCTGCGCAGAGATAGCAGATGGGTTTAGAAAGATTAGACATAGACAAATGTTATCCATTTTGAAAAGAAATTCAGCCCACAACTCAGAGAGAAACTTAGGTCTATGTGTTTTCATTGCTTTCTTTATGGGATTTACACAAATCCCGCTGTTACATCAGATCACATAATTGGGCCTTCTGTCTTTCAATTATAATATTTACATACATTTTTTAAAGAAACCCTATGAAGTAAGTTAAATACTAGTAGTGTTTGTTTATTTATGCACACGTACCAGGAATCACACCCAAAGGCATTCGGGCATTGCAATTCACATTCCTTTAGGCAATTTTACACTAATTTGTCAACAAATGTAGTGAAGATCATTTAAAAAAAAATCTGAATTCGCTTTATTGGCCATGTTTGTTAACATACGAGGAACTACCCTAGGTACAAACACATAGTTTCAAGTTGCTTTCAATGTACTTTTTAACGGTTCCAACAACAATTTATTTATATACCATTTTTACATTAAGAGCTGATTAGGCCTAATGGTGGATTGTTACCAAATGTTTAAACCTGTATAAAGGTTCTCCTCCCAGATAGTTAAGACACAGTATAGCAGTAAGAATGATATCTGCAAAACAGCTGCAGTTTCTTTCTAAATTTTGCGTGCTAGATACATTTCCTGCACCTGTTTTATTCTATAATCAAATCCAATGAAGGACTTCCAATAAATCACATAAATACACCTATTTTGTTTTTTTAATTACATATTGGGTCTTTAATCCTGTGACATGCTACCAAGCTCTATCAAAAGAAGGAGATCGATGTTTTGTGCACACCAAATATGATAAATATCCTGCAAAGATTCACGGGAATGCGCCGGTGAAGATGGCCGCATTGTCTTTTGGCTCCTCTCCAACTTTGCACTTTTTCGTATTTTGTGCGTGTTTATTTACTTTTTGGTCTCCCTCGCCCTCCCTTCGGCAAATACAAAGGAGCAGCGGGGGGTGCTGCGGGAGTGTCTGCGTGCGCATCTCTCCCAGATGAGCTGAACAGCTTGTTTGCACGTTTTGAGAGCGGCCAGGCTGTGGAGGCACAGAAGGATCAGGAGCCCTGCCCTTTTGTTTTAAACAGGGCAGATGTGTGCAAATCCTTTAAAAGGATTAACCCACACAAGGCTCCTGGACCTGATGGCATCCCTGGCCGTGTTCTCAGGGTGTGTGCAATTAATTTGCCATTGGTGTTCACAGACATCTTCAACAGGTCCCTGCTGCAGTCTGTAGTCCCCACATACTTCAAACACTCCACCATCGTTCCTGTCCCCAAAAAAACAATAATCACCAGCCTCAATGACTACCGCCCAGTAGCACTCACCTCCATCATTATGAAGTGCTTTGAGCGGTTAGTCAAAACCTTCATCACCTCCTCCCTCCCTGACTCTCTGGACCCCCTGCAGTTTGCCTACAGAGCAAACAGGTCCACAGACGAAGCCATAGCCCACACCATCCACACTGCCCTCTCACACCTGGACCAGAGGAACACATATGTGAGAATTCTGTTCATTGATTACAGTTCAGCCTTCAATACCATTGTGCCCTCCAAGCTGGTCATCAAGCTCAGAGACCTCGGGCTCAACAGCGCCCTCTGTGACTGGATCCTGAACTTCCTGACGGGCAGACCCCAGGCAGTGCGGGTGGGAAACATCACATCCTCCACCCTGATCCTCAACACTGGTGCTCTTCTACTCCCTGTTCACTCACTTCTTCTTTGATTTGTATGGAAGCCCATTTCCGCCACTTGAAAAAAATAAAATCCCCATGTAAAGCCATAATTATGAGATAAAAAAGTCGAAATTATGAGATAAAAAGTCATAATTATGAGATAAGAAAGTCGAAATAATGAGATAAAAAGTCATAATAATGAGATAAAAGTCATAATTATGAGAAAAAGTCATATAATGAGATAAAAAGTCATAATTATGAGATAAAAAGTCATAATTATGAAATAAGAAAGTCGAAATAATGAGATAAAAAGTCATAATTATGAGATAGAAAGTCATAATAATGAGATAAAAAGTCATAATTATGAGATAAGAAAGTCAAAATAATGAGATAAAAAGTCATAATTATGAGATAAGAAAGTCGAAATAATGAGCTAAAAGTCATAATTATGAGATAAGAAGTGCGCATGCGCTGCAGTGGCGCCGTCTTCAAAGGTCCCTTCATCACCTTGCTGCTCTACACCATGCAAACGGCATCTAGTCCTAAATAAGGACGTTACCACAATACTATAGGCATATATTATAGTTCATAACAGGTCATGTCAAAGCTATGAACTGTATTGTTGTAGTTTAGCTGCAATATAGGCTATATTTAACATCTAACATTTACAAAAGTCACCTGTAATAGTTACCTTATGTTAGCTGACGCTCCAAAGGTCCCTTATTATTGTTTTGTCTTTTTGAAGAGTGTTAATGTATGCTTGAACTGTTTTATTTTGTAAAAATGATAAGAGTTTGTCTTTCGGAAGTCCATGTGACCTTCTTGCCCCGGATGTTTATATTGTGTTTGTGTGCTGGTAAAGTGTCAACGATGTGATAACCGTAATCTACTGCTGGTCTTACTAGCCAAACACGTTTTCACGTGTGTTTCATGATTGTGCAAAGAAGAGAATAAATTGATTGTGGAATCGGTTCGATGCGTACTGTTAATGTTCTTTCAAGACCAGGTAGTCCATTATTTAGCTAGATGCCGTTGCATGGTGGAGAGCAGCAAGGTGATGAAGGGACCTTTGAAGACAGCGCCACTAGCAGCGCATGCGCATTCTTAGCTCATTAATTATTTGGACTTTTTATTCTCATTATTTCGACTTTCTTATTCTATTATGACTTTTTATCTCTTATTTCGGACTTTTATCTCATATTTTCGCTATTTTATCTCATAATTATGACTTTTCATGGGATTTATTTTTTTCAAGTGGCGAAATGGTTCCATAGGCTTCCAGTAGGATTTGTATCAGGGGGTCTTTCAAAACAACGCGATGCGCGGTAAACGCGCGGACGTGCAGGCGCGCCACGCACACAGTCACAGGCATAGATTGCGCGCAATACTGGTATTCGCGCACTTGGAAGGTGCAGACTCCCAACTGGACTGCACGGTAATTATTGCACCCCTTGCGAGTATACAATTAGTGTATGATGTGTTAGGCTTCAAGATTATTACAAAATCACAAAACTCTCGTACTGTGGAGCGTCACAAAAAGCGCCTGCGTTTATTACGGTTATCTCTCTCACATTCAGACAGGACTGTGCATGCTCACAACCACATGAACTGTACCACAATCAATAACAACGTAAGAGCTATACAAATGAAAGAAAATCAAAAAATTAAGCTCTCACAGTAAAACGACGAGAGAGAGAGAAGAGAGAGGAGAGCTGACTTCAGCTGGCTATTACGTGGTCCAACAAACCACCACCACCACACACACACACACACACACCCACACACACAACACACACAACCACACACACACACCACCAAACCACACACACAAACCACACACACACACACACACACCACACACCACACACACACACCACACAACCACACACACACACACCACACACAACCACACCACA